AAAAGTCAGAAGCCAGAATATTTTTTTCATTCTTTTTATCTCTCTTTGCACCCTTTCTTTCTTTCTTTCTCTTTCTTTCTTTCTTTCTTTCTTTCTCTCTCTCTCTCTTTCTTTCTCTCTCTCTTTTTTTCTTTCTTTCTTTTAACTTTCTGTTCGTATTTGTATTTTATTCTACAACACACTTTACTAAAACATGACAGGGGAGGTGGAAGTAACCCTAAGGCAGTGTTTCTCAACCTTGGTGACTTTAAGTCCTGTGAACTTCAACTCCCAGAATCCCCCAGCCAGCTGCGCAGAAGCCCAGCCAGCAACCAGAAACACTGCCCTAAGGGATGATTTCGGCCAGAAGCAGCTTTTTCTGGTATTGTAAGGCAGGAGAGCATCAAATTTGGCAGGGAATGTCTGTTCAAGGTGACTCTTAAACCTCCACTGTTTATGGAAATTGTGTTAGAGTAAACAAACAGAAATCCAGTTTTTTTTTACTTACAAATGGGATGTTATTTTATTTTATTCTTTGTGATACCTGCTGTCCTGAAGCCATTTTAGTCACAGGATGAAAGAAAGAAGCTGGTTTCTGAGCCTTGGATATTTGTGCATTTGCCTATTTTGTAAAAGCATGGAAAAATAATAAATAAGGAGCAGATTAGGCTACAAACCAGGAGAGGAAATGAGATCCTCGCTTTGCAACGACACAGGATTTTATTGGCATTTCACCATCTGGAAGAGACAAGGAGAGGAAGTTTTAATATTTCGCATTCTGAAACCTTTATTATTTGTTTAATGTAAATCTACCAAGAGGATCACACTAAAACCCATCAGTCAACAACAGTATCTCCCACTTCTGCTTTACTTTCAGTGTTTCAAAGCTTGGCAACTCTAAGGTGGGTGGACTTCAGCTCCCAGAATTCCCCAGTCAGCATGATTTAATTGTCTGGATTTCAATTCCCAGAATCCCCCAGTCAGCATGATTTAATTGTCTGGCTTTCAATTCCCAGAATTCCCCAGTCAGCATGATTTATTTGTCTGGATTTCAATTCCCAGAATTACCCAGTCAGCATGATTTAATGGTCTGGATTTCAACTCCCAGAATTCCCCAGTTAGCATGATTTGTCTGGATTTCAACTCCCAGAATTCCCCAGTCAGCATGATTTAATTGTATGGATATCAATTCCCAGAATTCCCCAGTCAGCATGATTTAATTGTCTGGATTTCAACTCCCAGAATTCCCTAGTCAGCATGATTTAATTGTACGGATATCAATTCCCAGAATTCCCCAGTCAGCATGATTTAATTGTCTGGATTTCAACTCCCAGAATTCCCTAGTCAGCATGATTTAATTGTACGGATATCAATTCCCAGAATTCCCCAGTC